GATACAACATTAATTTGGGTTAAAACTATAGATCTATAGATTTAAGGAACTGTAAGTTTAAATCTAGACGGCTCAAGTTCAAGGAAAAGATATGAATGACTTGAGTAAGAAACAGGGTATTTTAATTGAACTAAAAGGATCTCTTCTCCTAAAATACTATGGAGAACACTGTAAAACCTGGCAGTCTTGGTATAAGTAATGCAGTACGCATAAGCTAAACGTTTAAGGTCTTTATTCCAAGAACAAAATTCTCACTCTATGTAAGTAGCAGTAAGCATTTCAGTTACTTAATTTCAGAAGATATTTCTTTGACTCATATTGAACTCAAGATGTCTTTAAGTAAAGGCTGTAGTCCATAATTCAATAAATTGTTTTTTTCCGTGTGTGATTGTCCCTTTCATCATCGTCACTACTATTACTACTTGAAGTACTCATTGCATCCATTGGGGTTAACAATTGATCCTAAAGGTGAAATAAACGATAGTCAGGAATGTAATAAATAATAATGGTTTGTTACCAAAACAAATTTGTTAATATCCATCTGGTTTATTTACTAACCTAACAAATAAAAAATGTCAGACGTGAATTACGTTCTTTTGCAACTGATTCTATCGCAAATAACCCAACCTTACAAAATCATGTTCTTTTGATTTTTTTACGTTCAGAAGTTGCGATCGGAACTGCACTGATCTGGATTCAAAATCCAAAAGCAAAAGAAAGCACCTATTGTACCAATCTAAATGATAAATATAGAGTCAATGTTAAAAACCAATATTGGTTGTGTTAACATTAGTCATATTGGGCCAATAACCTACTTCTATATTGTCCAAATACAGATTTTTTATATTATACCAAACAGTATAATAAATATAGAATCAATGTTGGAAATCAATATTGGGAAAATTACGAAATGTTATATTCTGCTATATTGGCCTGATAAAGGACTTCTATATTGCCCAAATGTAAATTTTATATATTGTAAAAAGAAGTATTGTAAACATTGGATCAGAATTGTAAAGCAATATTGGGGAAATTTTGATATCAGAACGTTTGGCTACGTTGGTTCAATGAAGTAATTCTATATTGTACCAAGTAATAGCATAAATATTGAATCAAGTTTGTAAACCAATATTGGGAAAAAATCGAAATGTGAATATTTGACAACGTTGGTCAAATATACATTATTGGCATTGTACCAAGCATTATCGTAAATATTGAATCAAGATTGTATACGGATGTTGGGGAAATTTCGAAATGTGAGCATTCCACCATGTTGGTTCAAAAGTAAATTGCTCAAATATAAATTTCACATGTACCATCAGACAAAATAAAGGTTGTGAAGAAATATCGGGGACATATGGAGTGCAAAGTTTTGTATATAATTGGTCCAATATCATATGTTTCTGTATAAAATATAAAATGTAAATATTCAATCTTATTTAGTCTTATTAAGTCCGAATGTTCACATTTTAGATTAATCAATGTCTAAATACGTACGATTGGACAATTCTAACACGGTCTTCGAGATATTGTCTCACAACTTTCATTCAGTATGAAGCACTATATGGAAAAACATAGAACTTTGAAGTAGGATAATGTTGGAGTAGTTACAAAATTTTGAAATTACTTGTATCAATATATTCAATACATTTGTAAATCACAGAATTGTTGACAAGTCAACATTGAGAATTAGGTAGTTATGAATAACAAATAAATTGCAAAAAATATGTTATTATAAAAGAGTAAGTAAGGGTAACAACATAGAAGATATATTAAAATTAATTATCTAAGATAAACACAACATCTATTAATATCTATTACAAACATCCGTAAAAACGACCTAATTTACTATTTAAGCAAAGTATAAGATATTACCAAACGAAAAATTGCAGGTTTAAAACATATAAGCATAAATTCTCTGTCCCAAGTAAAATTTGCACCCCTCTAAAAAAAATGCCATTCTCGAAATAAAAAAGAAAATAGTTGAATTTTGTATTATAAGGGGATCAAATTTTACATCGCATTGCAGGGGCCATTTTCTTGTTAATGGACAATCGGATTTATCATTGATGAAAATTTTAGTTAGGACACCTATGTGTAAAATACAAATTTTTTCATTCATGCACCATAGCAATTGCAGCAAAATATTCACTTTGGGATATATGGTCTAGTGGTAATACAATGCATTTAGAAGCCACATCTGCCGAGCTTGCGGTAAATTTATATCTACCCAAATGCTGGACTTTGTAATAATTCAAAATTGATGAATGTATGGGAGATATAAAAAAATGTGCAACATCGGAAAAAATTGGTCCTATCAAAGCATACTCATCTTTTGCTTTTTCCGAAATTTCCACGACTTGCATAATTTTGCCCGTTTTCAAAATGACATATGAATCGCGCACAATCTTTGTTGATATTAGCTTATTGCGGATGTAAATATCTTTTATTTGCCCAGAAGATGTAGTGACAGACGATTGAAATGGCCTCATTGGTTTGGGAGATATTTGCCTCTGTTCCATAAGTCTTTTATAAATTTGTGCCATAGGTCGATTTTTATTACGCAACATACCTTTAAGTTTCCCTAGGTAACTTTCAAATGCAAAGCAATTGAAATCATTTACACTATAATTGTTACTTACTGCATCTTTGACTAAATGAAGAAGACAATGGGTATTATAGATTGGCTCTAAATTTGGATATAACCTCTGAGAATCCGAAATAAATTTCTGTATAAGTGTGATTGCAGTTCTACCTAAAGTTTTCGAATACACGCCTCTGCAAACAATGCGCATTGCAGCATGAAAACAAAGAAAATGTTTATATTTTGAGGTAGGTAATAAATCTTTCATTACAACAGGTCCCGTATATAACAAAAAACTTCGGAGCTCTGACGCTTTCCACATATCTATTTCTACAAAAGATCTAGGTTTCCGGTTAAATTCGGTTGGAAAATATGGGGCCATTTTAAGCATTCGACGGCTAGCTTCTGTCCTAAACTTTAATGCGATGGAACATTTCCAAATAGGTTTAAACCAGTATTGAATCATCCTCCGCATAGTTCCCAAACATGACATATGCATGTAATCCAGAATAAATCCAGACACCAGTCCAAAGTTGTTTATTTCAGTTAGGGGCGATACACCCTTGTGGTGTTCCTCGTGCACTTGCATATGAAATCCGTTGTCTGTACGAGATTCACAATTATAATCCAATGGGTATAACATCCTACTCTCAATTCTCCGACCCTTTACGGTACATTTTTCACACGCAAAGTATGAATTGTGAGGTTTATAAAAAAGACCTTGCCGGTGCGTCACAAACCATGTACCTTAAAGAACAGGTAATTTTTTCTCCCTCGTACAAAAACCCATTGGTTGAAAGGTTATTGAATTCTGTAATAAAGTCATTCAAATAATCTTTCAGGCATAGCGGTTTGCTATTTCCTAAAAACAGGGCAACAACAAATGGAGAGAAGGTGTAATTTTTTTTAAAAACTTTAGCTAATATTGGCCAGAACTGAGACCTGGAACTTTTGTATATGGGCAAACCATCAATATTACAAACTAGTTCTATGTGATAAGAATTTTCCAATGTAAATAAGGAAGATCTAATGTCATCATTAAGCAATTGGTGACGTATGCCATTCTCTATCCCAAAATAAAAAAATTCGCCGTTACATTTATCGGCAGACAGCATGGATTTAGAACAAAACTTTCTCTTGGTTTTTAGTAATGTTTTGCTGCTTTTTGGTAACTCCGGATGATACCGTCTCAAAATGGACAATAATGAGGTTAACTGTTTGTGATTGACATTTTCTATCAGAGCCCAATTTCTTAGATCACTTTCGATAGAATGTTTAAGTGGTTCTATTAAAGCATTTTGTGAAATTGTTTCATTGCGCAAGTTGTTTAGTTGTTTTCCTGTTTCTGGTGAAATTGTCTCAATGGATGGAGTAGGTGGGTAAGGCAAATTCGTTTGGCAAAGTACATCGTTACTAAGGGTAGACACACAAGGTAAATATGATTCTATAGGAGATTTACAGATGTGAACCTTAGAATCAGAGAAAACAGGGTGTACGTCGTGTTCTAAACTTTTAGATGAACTCGGCAGCTGTGTTACTAACAAGTGTCTTTTTATGAACATGGATTTTCTAGACCTTGGCATATTTGATAATGAATTTTAAATTTTAAAACTAAATTAGCTATGTAGGTAATAAGAATAAAGTAAAGAATAATGTTATTATACTACAATAAGTGAATAGGTACCTAATCTGCTTGGGTCATTGTATCATGATTATTTACGCCGGTAACACGAGATTTTCGGCCCCCTTCGCGATCCGCTGCTGTGGCCAAGGATGTGCTGATAAAGCGACTAATGTCCTGATCTGAAGTCGTCGGAAACAGCACACGAACGCTTTCTGGGGACAAAAAACAGTAATCAAATAGATGATATATAATCAAATTTAAAATAGCTTACCTAAAACTGCTTTATACAACGTTAGTGATGAGAAATTTTTTTTCCCTTTTCTTCCAAATGCGGAGTATAATAGACTGAGCTCCTTATTCATCAATCTCTTCATAATTTGATAGGTCGCTTTCTTAGGCGTTTCACCTCCTACTAGTGCCAAAATCTTCACCTAGAAAAGTATGAAACAAAAATTGATCATTATGGCTTAAAGAGAGTCAGTTATACTTACAAGATTTTCAAATTCTGTATCTTGCTTAACTTGTTCCTCCAGTTTCATCAATCCCTCTTGATTCCTTGTCGGCAACTCGAAGTGTCTTGAAATTCTGGAAGGCGTAATGGTAGAGGAAGCAATAACGGCGGCAACGGACGATTCAAGCCGTGTCTGGTTAGACTTGATTTCCTTCAAATCGTATTCAATTCCGGCTATTGCTTTCATTAATTTAGTATATCGGTCTTCCGTAAGCGAGCAACGAAGGTTGGATGCAGGGTTCCTCTGTGGTGTAGCTATTGTGACGTCTGAACGTGGAAGAGAAATTAATTGATTGCGGGCATCTGTTTAATGATTTAATACCCTTAGATTTGGGAAGAGAACTGCCAGATTTTACGCGTTGTGCTTTTGAATTTTGTAGTTTTGATGTAGATCGGTACACAGCTGAACTCGATGGAGCTAAAAGATCATAAAATAAAATTCTTACCCATTCTACATCGTATTCATAATTATATACGAATCTTCTTCATTATCAAAATTAGTTACTCAAAAAAGAAGTAGATTTTGTGCAATGCATAACATGAGGTCTGTCCAAGCGCGTCTACCGAGATAATAACGAAAAAGTCTAAACTATTATGTTTTCATTGGGTCACTCAAATTGAAAGACCTATTGCAAAAAGTGTTTAACATTGTAGGCTACTGCTTTTTACGTATTCTACATGGATGTAGCTTTTATATGACGTCCGAAGTAATGTGATTAGACATAAGAGTTGCATTGCAATAAATTGGCAAACTTGAAAATATTAAATTTTACTCTACACAGTTGCAAAGTACTGCCCCACTAGGTTTTTTAAATGAAATTTGTCACTATATAGTAATAATAATATAATAATAATGGCATTTATTAAGCTTCTTCAAAAAATTAAAATAAATAATGGAAGAAAAATGAATCTAAAGCTTAAAGGGGCGAAGTTCAGTTGCCCAAGAACGGTACCGTTCCCAAGCTCTGCTCTTCCATGCTCAGCCCTTACCTAAATTTATGTTTTAATAACTACCCTAAACGTGAAATACTCATCTGTACTCATTTGTTTTAAAGTCTCGGCCACCTTTATTTCATAATTAATTAAATAAAAAATTAATAACAGTAACCTCAATGAAATGTAGTCCGTTTAATTTTAATTTTTTCATGGTTAAGTGAATTTCATTTTTTTAAAAGTATCCAAAAACATAGGTACAAGGAGTTCAATTTTAAAAAAAGTTAATTTTTTTTAATATCTAGGTAACCGGACCTACGATTGCTTTGTCAGTCGCACCATCGTAATCTCAAGAAAAAGTGGTTCAGAATGGAACACACTGTATACGCAGTATAATAGTTACCTAGTTCTGATTTGTTGTTCTCGTCCGAATTAAATGTCAGTGTATCGTCATCATCATTGCCCGATGTATCGTTTCCTTCCTCTTCAAAGGAATCCTCAATTTCTTCGCATCTAACAGAGCTAGAGCCGCTTTCGCTTTCATTGGATGTTGACCGTGATTCTATGACAGTTTCTTGAAGACGTCTCGCTGCAGCAATTGTGTTCCTTGTTCCTTTATAAACGGCGCCCAACTCTTTATAGGATACAGAAGTTTTAGGCGGTTCACATTCTTCTATTGAATGCTTCAATATTGATATGGGTACTTTTGGCCACAAATATATTGTTTTATCATCATTTACAGCCCAGGATGAGGGAATGTGATAAACAGAATTGTCTTTCTTAAAAATAACGACGTCCCAGAATTTCCTGGAAATGAATCGGTAAGCTTTTATTGCAAGCTCCAGGAAATTAGCATACAAGCACAAGACCGAAACAAGCATTTTTTTCCAAATAAACCGAGGGTCGCAAATGTTTCGTTTGGAAGTTACCCTTAAAAGTCTCCAAAATTGCATTTCTTTATAAATTTTTATCTCGAGAACCATAAGGCGTATCAAGAAGGATGGCACGCCCCGTGATAGGATATTGGGTATTCCCTCTCAGATTTTGGAAAATTTTTTCCAAAATTCCTACCCCAACATGGTGCACCCCTTACCGGGGTAACATTCTTATTTCAACGAAATTTGGTATTTGGGGATCTTTTAACATGAAAATATGCCATTAGTTTTTGAAAATTCGAAAAAAATTCGACTGCAATTTTTGGCCGGACAATGAAAGTGACCAGAATTTCACTAAATTTGTTGTATATGTTATGTAGGTATCTAGAAACAAAATGTTGAACGGTTTTTTTAATACGGCTTCTGAAAAGAAAACTACATGCGCATCAGAACATTGCTCCTTCGAGTAGGTTGGAAACTCATAAGTGCGTAATTGCCAACTAGATTCGTAAGTAATTTGAAATGTGGAAAAATCGGAAAGGGCATGTGCCGCATACGCCTTATGGTTCTCAAGATAAAAATTAACAAAGAAATGCAATTTTAGAGACTTTTTTAAGCGTAACCTCCAAACGAAACATTTGCGACCCTCGGCTTATTTGAAAAACAAAATGCTTCTTTCGGTCTCCTGTATCGCCCCATTTATTTTGGCACATCTCAAATGTAACACCCTGTATACTAAATTCCTGACACTTTTAATATTTTACACCTAATCAATATTTATGAACGAAGAACCGTTCTAATACAAATATTTTATGTAGGGCTTCTATACAGTACCTACACATAATGTTATCAGTACAGTTGATATCAAGAATAGTAATTAAGTAATGTGTCCTAATAGATGCTATAGGATACTGACTGCACAATGTTAGCAAGAAGAGCTACAGGTATAATAATGTATAGAAGTAAATGCTCTACAATATAAAATTTGGAATAATTTTGAATTCCTAAATTTATATGTTATTACTATCGATCCGAGTTGAAATCCTAATTTAATTTTTTCTAATATAGTTTTTATTTAGAACGTAGTTCGAAAATAATATTGTCCATAATATTCTAGCTGGTTACATAAACAATTTTGGGCGACACACCCTTATAACTCCATAAAGTTAGAGAATGTGCAAGTATAATGACCGGTTTCTTATGAAAATTAGTTGAAGAACAACATATCTAACAGCAAATCATAAATAATGATTAAATTGCTTATTTCTATAAGAATATAAATGGAAATAATACTTACTTGGAAGGATTTACGGCCATATTGTAGTCTACACAGCACTATTAATACTTAGGTTCCAACACAATGTTTCTTAATATATACGTAGACAAAATCAGTTCAGAGAAGCTTTCAAAAATTAAGTAGACAAAACTCACAAACGATAGTAACTAATGATGGATATATTAACCACGCAACGTAACTGTAAAATAAAGCAGGAAAATATAACTAGATAGATATACCGTAAACAACGAATGTAGACAAGCGGAACTGGCCTACTAGCTACTATACTGCTGACTAGCACTAGAGATAAACAATTGCAATATTTGAAACTTCCCTCACCATTTAACAGGAATCAGGAATATTTGCAACAAACACGTTTATTTCGAAGAACTCTTATTCATTCAAATGCTGAAATATTTCACATACAAAAATAACTCATTATTTTCAATATCCTTTAATAGGTGATTCGTATTTCATTTTAAGTAAACCAGGCGCTTAACACAAATTTAGTGATAGTGCTCGATAAGTTTCAATTTGCAATTTCGCTTTCGTTAGAAAAAGTATGCCTATGTCGATATTACGTCTTTTATAATGCAAAAAAAAATAAATTTATGTGCCACGCGCTTCCCCAATGGTACCGATTCAGGATACACGTATAAAAAAACGAGATAGAAAAGAAATATTAATAAACAATATTAGTAACTGCCTATGAAATTTGATCTTCCATAATATTAAGTTGGTGTCAGACAGTCTATATAGCAACCCCGCACGTGATTGCTAATAAATAAATTCGGTATAAACAGACGTCTCCAATTTTCAATAAGAAAATTTGGATGGATTTCAAAAATAATGGTGGTGTATCAAAATTGGCAATCGGTTATGATTAAGCACACACGAAAGTATCTAATTCCCGAGCTTAATCCAAAATCCACTCTGTTTCATCACATCACATAAATAGAGGCGTAATTAATTGTTAAATTTTGTGATAACAATTGACGTCCCCAACTTGATTTCGAAATGTCCCTGGACCTAATAATAAAATAGATTTGGATCGTTGAATGAAGCCAATGAAGGGATCCTTCATCAACGTTTGGATGTTTTAAACCGTTGTATTAATGAAATAGGTATATCAAACTTTGGATTTTACAATAATTGGGAGATTTTTGAAGGATCTGTGCTAATATGCAAACCTTTTAATTCATAGTTAGCACATTCCCACAACAATAAATAAGAACAACAAATAAAGCCATCGCACAGCGATTGGTTAAAGCGTATTTTTCGTATTTGCGTTACAGGTGATAAAATCAGGTCGAATGTCAGCTACCCTTGGATGTGTTTCATGACCTATTACTTTTTCGTTGTGAAATATTCTCATTTGAAATGATGCTCTGTAATTTCGATTTGTTTAGACGGAAAATGATCAATTGCCTTTATCGAGAGGACAGCAAAATTTTCGAAAAAATCACTCCATAAATAAGAAAGGTACTGGATTGAATTTTATTAGAAGTAGCGATATCTTTGTCAATGACAAAGTTGAGGTACGCTTGTGTGGAAGGGAAATGTATTCGAAATTCTTGTTCAATCACGGTGATTTGTAGCGATGAGTCGCTGATGTTACATGTCTTGATTAAAAACTGCTCTTTATTTAAAAAAATGTTTTTAATAACAACATTTACAATTGGATTAGATATTGCATTGCATACGAGATGTTAACAAGTGACACGAAAAAGGAATTTGTACGTGTTGGTCTAAGAATGCGAAATTTTACTTTTATGTAAATGTTTTTAAGTAGTAGGTAGAAATTTACCCCTAAATAACAAGTTTTCTTCACAGCAAAGTTGGATTTAAATTCAAGGACATCTAGGTAGTACAGTTTTACCAGTGTTAGTTAACAAGGATACAAAGTTTCAAAGCTTATTTTATAATCATTTACCCCTTTTTCGCTTTAAATTAGGTATCAGAAAATTAAACCAGTAGGAAATAAAGAAAATAGAAAAAAAATTACCAACGATAACAACATAATCGAAATTGCTCTTTTGAATATCGTCCAATGATCAATGGAAGTGTAATTAAGATCAATAGATGTAAACAAAATTTGTCTCATCAGTGAAATAATAGTTAATTGCATTCTTATCCTGTAAACATCTCTACTTATTAGAAATCAATTCAATTATCTTAATCTGCCGTCATTATAGGCAAGAAAGACTAAGTACCTATGTAAATTAACATTCCACTTTCTACCCATCAAAAATATTTGGAAATTATTCTTAGGAGGCATCTACACCCCGCGCAAAAACTTCTCTAAAAGTGTCTGTTTTTTCTCAAACAAAATATACCTAATGACGAAAAGAGTTAATATTTATTTAAGGGTGTTAACAAGTAACCTAAATTAAACGATGCCAGCACTTTCTCATGACAATTTTCGTAAACTTTTTCAGTTGCGGCGTCCCGAGCCGTGTCTATTTACTGGTATATAATACACTTTTTTTTAGTTATTGTCTATGTATTTGAGCACAGGAAGGTTCATGCTAGGACTGTATCTAGTTTTTTTTGTATTAAAATGTTTGTTCAAAATATACGAACCTTTGAATAATGTCTAAAATAGCAGTTCTTTGTCATTCTGCAGCTTTGTATTTGAAGTTTCTATTTAATATAAAATTAGATACAATCCTCGATCTGTCCTTAATAAACATAAACGTAATTTTATGTTCTTTAAGAAAAAACAGACACTGCGCGAAACCTTTTAGAGAGGTTTTTGCGGGGGGTGTAGATGCCTCTTAAGTTGTAGGTTTAAATGTTTTCGTTGTATAACATTAGGGTTATTATAATAAAAAGAAGATATCTAATTAATGAAATTTTGTCAACGTTTATGTAAGGCATCATATAAATGAGCAAACACTGCTAGTAAAATTAATTATTTTTACATTTTATCAAGTAGGGCGAGTTGATTTTCCATATCTATTAATTTAAATCATAGGTTTTATCATTAAATAGAAAAGGTATTTACCATTTAAAAGGGCACGATTTCGTAAATTTAAAAAAAAAGGTTTCCGCTTATCTCTAAGTACGGATTTTGAAGATTATAGTTGAAATAGTTTTTCGTACTATATTAAATTTTATGAGTGTAGGTAATAAGACCCAACGTCGAAAATGCAAAATATTTCTAATTGATCAACTTATACAGGATGTTACAAAAATAGTGGGCTGACTATATGCACGCGGCTTCTACGATTAAAAATAAGAAAAAAAGTCTAATTAAACATATCTTCTAAAGTGGCTCGTTACTGAGCTACAGCTACTGGAAATTTTTTTTTATTCAGAACGATAACAATAAACGGATCTTTTAAACTGAAATTATTATAATAAATGTTCAAAATGACCTCCACGGGCAGCAACACACATCTGAGCTCGTCGGATCATGGACTGTCTCACGCGTTCAAAAATTCCTGGAACGTTTCGAATTTGCTGGCATCCGTCTACGACTCTCTGTCGAAGATCCTCAGCATCTTCGACTTGAGTAGAATACACCATAGATTTTAGATGATTAAAGTGCGCATTACCTACTTGATAACGGTCTG